ATATATATATATATATATACATACACACACATTTGTTCCTAGATTGATCCAAATGGATATGGACGGATTGAGGCGATGGATGCTGCAAGATTTCTTAAGAAATCCCAGTTGAGTGATGTTATTCTGAGTAAAATATGGGATATGGCTGATCCACAATCGAGAGGTTCTTTAGACAAATCTGGCTTGTTTGTTGCACTCAAATTATGTGCATTGGCACAAACAGGAAAGGATTTGAATATATCTAATCTAAGCCTAGAATTGCCACCACCGAAGATGGTAAATTTACATATAAACACATTTTTGCAATTGGAACAAGCATTATATTGTCTGTCTTTTTTGATATCAGGGAGACATCCCAGTCATTCCACAGAAGGTTATGACTAATGCTTTGCCTGTAATAACATCTGTCAATAATGGAGATTGGTCAATTAATCCTACAGAACGAGCGAAATACGATCAGCTTTTTGACAGCTTACAGCCATCTAATGGCTACATATCTGGAAATAAAGTAAAAGGTGTTCTTATGGACAGCAAACTTCCCTTAGATACTCTTGGTAAGATTTGGGACTTAGCAGATATGGACAAGGATGGTATGCTGGATAGACACGAATTTGTAGTTGTAAGTATCAATTGTTTTTTTTATATATGTTACAGTAACTCTTGCATAAATGAATATTAAATGAAAATAAGTCAAGAAAGATTCAACACAAGTGAAAAGAGGTTGGTCTTAGTGCCTAATAATATTATATTTTTACATTTAAATTTTTACAATTTCCAGTTCAAGCAAACTACATCGATTATTTGTTGTTCTTGAAATAATTCTAGATTAGAGCTAGAGTAATATCACAAATTAAATTGACAAGGAATTAATATTATTGATTCTAATGAGTATTTTTAAAACACTATAAGGAATTTATTGCAAAAAATATTATCCCAACCAAAATTTGAATTTGCATCTCTCTCATTCCATTTGGATCTCTTATTTAAAAGGTTCTCACGTTTAAAGAAATATAAGACAAGTGTAATACAAAAGTTAATAATATTAATAATATCTAAAAAAAATTTCATTGACTTTTATCATACCATTTTGAAGATATTTAATTCTAAATTTATAGAATTTTACATTGCAGATTGAACGTTTAACCTTATTCTATAGTTATTCTCTTTTAAATTGAGACATTCGCATATAAGAGCAATTTAAAAACCGTTATAATTATAAAGTAAACACTTAAATTTGTTCTCGTGAAATTTCATTTAAACTGACCACGATTTACAAAACATTTATATTCTTTAATGAAAAAAACTAGAATATGTGTTAAATACATATTCATCAAATGAGCATCTTACAACTTTTATTTTGTCTTTTTGAAAATATTTACAGTAACATTAACAACAATTATGTTTAATGACATAAGATATTGTTAGTAATCTTTTTATGTCATTATTTTAATTGTTTTACATGTTATTATGAATAAACTGTCTATTGACTGTCTAAGAAGTAGCGCGAGAATCTCCTTAAATTTTATTACCAAGGCATATAGTATTATATTATTTAATTTAATTACATACTCTAGCTTTAGTCTAGAATTGTGTTTTAGGATTGGCAAATATATAATTGGAGGATAGTATTTTTAAACTGAAAATTGTAAAAATTTACAAGAAAGTATTAGATACTAAGATTTATTTTGACTGAATGTAGCCCTCATTCGTTTTCCATAATGTATGATTGAAGAAACAATTTTTGATAACAATGTAATGTTAAGTTGAGAGATTATCTTGAATGATATTAAACGTTATTTATGTTCTATGTATTTTAACAATATTTGTATCACAAATTATATTTTCTTTTTTTTTCTGCCTAACTGTGTTATTATGCAGGCTATGCATCTTGTATATAAAGCATTGGAAAAATATGCGATACCAAGTGTACTTCCACCAGAATTAATGCCGCCTAATAAAAGGAAAGACATTATTATCTCTAAGACTAAGTCTCCTACACTGATAGGCATGGCAGTTACTGCACCACCATCATCGCAATCACAAGTACCACCCTTATCAAATACGACGACTGTTAAGAGCTTGACTGGATTAGATGCTGTAAAAGTATTTATCTTTTAAACTCTGTGATTTAAGAACTTATTGTATTTCTGCATCCAATTGCTAATGTTTTTGTATTATATATTCTCAGACAAGCGCGCAACATTGGGTAGTTTCGGCTGAAGATCAAATAGCTGCGGAAAAGTTATTTTTACAAGCTGACATGGACAGAGATGGATTTGTCTCTGGTTTAGAAATCAAGGATGTCTTCCTACAAAGTGGACTTCCACATTCTGTGTTAGCTCATATATGGTAACACAGTATTTTATTGTGAACAATTTACCAAAAATTAACTATCATGGTATTAACGAAAATATTTTATGAATTAGGAGTTTATGCGATATTTGTCAAAGTGGAAAATTAAATAAGGAACAATTTGCCATAGCTATGTGGCTTATCAAGCAGAAACTCAATGGTATAGATCCTCCAACAAGTTTAACTCCTGAAATGATACCGCCTTCTATACGGAAAGTTGGGGAAACTATTGTGGTAATTATTAAAATTCTTTTCTGATGTACTTATAATATGCTATATTTAAAATAGGGTTCAGAAAAAGAATCGGGTAACGTAAAATTTGAATGCCCGCCCACAGATTCGTTACCCGTGCATACGGCTCAGGACCAATTATGTGGATACTTCCAATAGAACTGTGTATAATGCAAGTACTTCCAGAACTGTCTGCAATACGAGGTACTCGCGGAATTATGGGCGATATCCCATTTCGATACGAATATCTGCTACATGCTACAGATATCTGCGTGTATGTTTTATTAATGTTAAAAGCGTTTTAGAATTGTTTATACTAATTTTCATTTTGTTTGTAGTTAAATAATTTGAATTAAGGATATATTAATCGTTGCAAAGCAAATTAAATTTGGAAATGTATTTAATATTTATAATGTGAAAACGAAACAATTTAGACTCCAGAATATTTTAATTATAAACGGAATGAGAATTACTACAAACGATTGTAAAATACATACCTTTAAAATTGACAAAATTATACGTAGATATATGTAGCGGATACTCTCATCGAGACAGGTATTCGTATCGCCCACGATTCCTCGAATATCTGTATTGTATACGGTTCCAGGTACTCGCATTGTACATAATTCTGCAGGTACCTGAATTAGTGGGTACTCGCGGAATCAGTTCAGATCCGTATTACAGATAACGAAGCAGGCAAGGCTACTCAAGTATTTCGAACTCTAATTTAAACCTTATTTGAGATTCATCGCCTTCCTTCTTTTCTTCATAAACATAAACATACGACATAAACACATCATTTTACAAATTGTCAATGAACAGTTTAATCTATATATCATTTATAAAATAGCATTTATAGTGTTTATTAATGCATCGTATATCGCATTCGTTCCTTGAATGCTTTCCAAAATATTATGGAAATAACACCAATTATGACGATAGCGCCCATTAAAATAACATGATGATTCAACTTGAATTCTATTTCTTCAATTACGATTAGCTTAATTATTCCAGCAATTTCATTATTTTGCCAACAACTATTAATGAAACAAGTTTTTAGATTATTATTATGTGTTTTCATTCGTTAATGAATTTTATTTACCTATATATATTAGCATCCTCAAATTTCAAAGGTTCAAATAGTATTTGCATCTGAGGATTAATATGAATTCTTCCATTTGATTGAGATTTAATGTGAGACGGAATAATCATTTTATCATCGATCCGCCAAACAATCGGAACATCTGCATTCAAATTTCTAAAATAAGAGAAGATTTTTAAATCATTTTTGATATTTGTCATTATTAGTGAAGCGATTAGAATTTATGTTTTAAATTTTACCCTGGACAGACAAGTTCGATTTTTTTATTATGTTTTTCATAAATAACACTACGCGCAATTGATGGTAATGGCTTAGGCATTTCTTGAATCATAGAAAATATACCTGCACTATTGTTTGCACTTTCCAGAATATTACCCTTTTTATCGCGCACTTCAAATATAATATCTTTTCGACATTTTTTCTATTGCAAGAATATTTATTTCAATTTTCATTAAAATTTCTACTTTATTATTGCAATAATAATTACGAAGTGCACCAAATAGATATTTTCTTTATATTGTATAAAAATAGTTCCTTTGCATATTAATGTTATTTTCAATTAGATTATTGTTATCTAATGCTGTTAAGCTAAGTTTAACTTAATAGCATTAGATAACAATAATCTAATTGAAAATAACATTAATATGCAAAGGAACTATTTTTATATAATATTAGGTAATAATAATTTAATTGAAAATAATCTTGTTAATTTAAATAAAAATGAATAACATTTTATAAAAAATTAATCAACATAATAGAAGGAAAAAAAGATTCATTTTTTCCTTTAATATCCTACTTTATGTGATTATAAGAAGTTTTAAGTATTGTTTAATACGCATACCTTGCAATATTGTCTCACAATTTCAATTTTTTTATTTTTGATAACGGGAATTAGTCGCACTTGTTCTGGAAGAAATCTCGATTTGCACGGTAATTTGTTCTTAAATAACATTAATGCCGTTTTTAATTGAACTTTCAAAGTTGTATTTATCGCTTCTATTAGCATTGTGTCGTTTTGCATTTGATTCCATTCTTCAAATAACTTAAAATTTAGTAAGAATCTTGATGAGAAAGAATATCTTGTTTTTATTTATTTACCTTTCTTTATATCTCGTTTCATATGTTGTAATTTATTCATTATCGATGCACGTTTGTTAATAAAAGATTTGTTATCTGACATTTCGAAAAGGGAAACGGTGCAATAACCGTATCGCAACTTTATCCCAACTGTATCGCATGTGGAACAAGAACTCCACGTTGTCCAAGTGGTATAAACTTTCAACTTGTATTCTGACACATTTTTCAATGTTGCTTGCAATGTATAAGGCGCTCTATCCGGATATACATTAACCGTTTCCATATTACTATCGACATGTAAATAATAAATTGATCCTATAGTATGTCCTATTTCACACCAATAAGCTCCAGCTTGCTCTAACTAAGAATCATTAATTATTATTAATTTATAAACAAGAAATATAATAAAGAGCATATAAGAGTCTAAATTACCAGTTTTAAGAACAATGAAAGAATATATTGCATAATGAATATTATTAATCTTATTAATCTTTTAATAATCAATTAAAATTCTTACATGTTTCGACCTTTCAATGATTTTATAATTATGTACATTTCTCATTAATATTGAAAAAAATTTAATTTTTTAATATTAACTTATGTATAAAAAAATTATTTCTCTGAGTTATCTTTTACAGTTGTGTATCATATACGCCATACTTCCTGAATTTACACCTTAACATTGTACATGATGTATCGGTTATCTGGTGAATTGACAATGCGATTCCCATTATATAGCACATCTTTAACTTTACTGCTTTTATTGTTGCTGCTGCTGCTGCTGTTAAAGTACCATTCTATTAGAGAAGTCATATACATTTCCAGTGGCGAGATGCAGATTTGACATTCTAAACTATAAATCAATTTATTAAAGTTTTATCGTAATTGTTCATGGCAAATTTTTATGCTAATTTTCTTAATCGTACGTTACGGATGTTCCCTCGAGCGCTATGAGCGCACTCGGATAAATAATTCTGTCTTGCTTTATATCTGCGTATATTTCTTTCAGACACTTGTAATAATCTAGCCATTGTTGTTTGTGTAGTTGTCTTAAAGTCTTGTTAGTTTTCGGATATTCATATTCATTGACATTTAAAAGAACTTCATCACCTTGTTATTACAATAACAAATACTTATATATGATTACACGCGTGTGCGCATTATAGATAGATTTACATCTGTATATCTAAATTATTCACACGTAATTAAAACATTTACCTACCATGCTTGCCATTAAACATTTTATTAATTTTTTTTAGTAATTCCTTATGTTTAGTTAATAAATTTGCTTGTAGTAATCCTAAAGATACATTGTTGAAATAATAGATTAAAATTGGCATTATACATATTTTCATCATTAGCATTATGTACAGCGTCGTGAAGTATCGCAATATAATGAAATGAAATACCAGTATAATATCCTGTCATTTTTTTTTATATGCTAATATAATAGCTGCATTCAACAGAATGTTTATGAAACACTTGCGTATGAAACTCTACGCGAATGAAAATGAGATTTAAAAATTAAGACATAGAACAGTTAAATATCATAGCCCTTGTCAAATAGCACAATCTTGAAGAATCAAACACAAAAAATGCGAGCAATATATACAAGAATTAATAAAACTCAACTTTGTGACAGCAATTTTATATGTTTATATTGTATACACGGTGTCTCATAAGATGGGTCCGAGCCACATTGGGGGTGGAGAATGGAGAGAACAAAAAATTCTTATACTATTTTGAAATATTCGCTATAGTTTTCGAATTAGAAAAGGAAATGTCTAAGCCAATATGCGATTAAGCCGCGC